ATTGCTATTTTAAAGAAGTTTCAATTTTCAATGATTTATTTATAAGAGAAATTATGAACATTTTACTCAATTAATGAGCTTACATACTGCGACGTTAAAACATGTACATTTAAGCAAAATAAAAAAAAATAGTTCTAATTGAATAAATTACAAACAATGAAATATACTCTGCATAACCTGCTGTAACGATTCACCAGTAACCCTAAACAGCGACAAGAAATATTTCGATTGTTCTCTCTTATTGCTAAGCCTACAACGATAGCCTCTAAGAATATCCTCCAACTTAAATTATTTATGATCAGGACGTGTCTTTAAAACAAAAATAATAAAATTTAAGTTTAAAAATTGAAACATATTTGATTAAAAGTAATAAAACTAAATTAATAAATGTCAAGCACACTTACAGAATTTCGAATTGACTTTCGATTGTCAACACACACGCCATTTGCCGGCTCGCATGGAACTCTGTGCAGTGAGCTAGTTAATATGAAGTGTACTTTAAACAACGTTAAAACAAGCCTAGGTATAAATAAAATGACTTCATACTTCACTCTCTTTAGTAGAAAAAAGGTATATTTTTTATAACTCGTAAATACCTCACTCTCTTTAGTTGAAACAAGATATATTTTTTTTATACCCTGTAAATACCTCACTCTCTTCAGTAGAAAAAATGTATATTTTTTTTTACCTCGTAAATACCTCACTCTCGTTAGTTGAAATAAGGCTGATTTTTTTATACCTCATAAAATACCTCTTTTGTTACACGTGTAAGAAAAACAACCTCGTACACCTTAACAATCACCTTATCAGTCTGGTTGATTTGAATTGAATTTAAAACAACCTCAAAATAAGCTAAGGAATAAATAAAAATAACTTCATATATCTCAATAAATACCTCACTCTCTTTAGTTGAAATAAGGTAAAAAATTTTATACCTCAAAAATACCTCTTTTGTTACAAGTTTCAGAAAATCAACCTGGTATACTTTGAAAATCACCTCATCAGCCTGGTTGATTTGAAGTTGATTTTAAACCACCTCAAAATAAGCTGAAGTATATATAAAACAACCTCGTACACCTTAATTACTACCTTTACGAGGTATAATTTTTATTTCTGTTTTCTCAGCAACCTTAAATATACCTCAAATATACCCCAAATCAACCTTGATACCTCAAAAATACCTCAAATCAACCTTAAATATACCTTAAATTTTCGTAAGGGTATTTAAAATAATCAACATTCTGCGATTATCCAACGCATGCAGGTTCCTCATTAAATATAATTACTGAAATTTGAATTTTGAGTGTTGTTATCCTTTCATATTATAAATATCAAGATTTTGAAAACTATGAAAAAGTTCTTAGCAATAACTGGTGAAAAAACAACTGACCACACTGTATGGAACATCATGAATCAAACAAGTAAAAAAGTATTTACTCAAATGCGTGATTTGAATTTCAGGTGTCATAACTTTATTGTCTTAGAAAAATATCAGATTTTAAAATCAATGTGGTAAATTTTACCAATAAGCCCTGAAGAAAGTCCACATGATTTTACGATAGAATAAAGCATGAGTGTCAAAATATAATATCTCAAATATCGTAATAATAACAGGATTTTGAAAACCTTTTAAAAATCTGTTGTAGTAACTCTCAAAAAAGTGTTTGACAAAATTATTTGGAATTAGGTGGAACCGTCGCAAATTCTTTACATCAGATATTGATTATTTAAGCACACAGTTTAAAATTTGCACATTGAAAATTTTAAAAAGCATGGATAAAATCTATAATTTTAGTTTTTTAATTAATGGATGAATCATCTCAAAACAAGTCTATCAAAAAGTGGTTACTTACATATTCGTCTAGCGTATTACCAAAATTTAAATGTCAAGATATAATAAAATTGTGTGGAAAACTGTAGTAATAACTTTCAAAAACGTAAGCGACAATGCTTTTTAAAAAAATTGATGATGGAATCATGGTGATTCAAGTTATTTAAAAAGTGTTGATTTAAATTCTCAATTCGGTGTTTGAGTATCGTTTAAGCATAAAATTAAGTCCGAATTTTTAAAACATGTGTAGTAATAATTCCCGAAAAAGTTATAGAATTGTTGCAAATAGAGTTTCAAAAAGTTATTACTCTAAGGCTGAATTTGATATTTGTGTGTCGTATTACCATATTAAGAATAATAAAAATTCATAGAAATGATTGAAGGACAAAACGATCGAAGTTTAGCATGGATTTATGATACAATTAGCACGAATCTGGCATATTTTATTCTTTTATATTAGGCCTGTAAGGTGGGGACACCACTTTTGACTTTATGACTAGGTTTTAATATTTTGATAACCATTTTCTGTGTAATGGTTGCCCATTTGGCGACTGGTAATTGGTAATCTAGAGCTCTATATTAATCTCTTGATAATCATTAATTTCTCATTTAATTAGTTATTGATGCTTTTGCTCATTTTTTCAATGCTTATTTATGTAACTAATAAAAACATATGTTTTGTTTTAGATATCACCATACTGCTTGCATGAGTGTAATTTATGGTTTAAGAGAATCTTTATCTATTCTTGCAAAAGAAACTTTAGTAAACTGCTGGGAGAGACATAAATTATGTGCTCAATATCTGTATAATACTTTGGAAGAAATGGGGTTGGTTTTATTCATAAGAGATGAGGTATTTTTCTGTTTTTCATATACACAAATTATTTGTTTTTTAATAATAATTAGCTTTTGGTAAATAATTAGTATTAATCATTTTTAAAGTTTGCAACCAAACATAAACTAAAACTTTCTGTTTTTAAGAGAATTTTATCTGATATGTCATTTCGTGCATTTTTTGTATTTACATTGCTAATTTAAAATTAATTCTGCCATAGCTATAAAAATATAAAGCTCTTAATTAATTTAATATTCCATTTAAATCCTTTTCTAGAATATATCAGGGGTGCTACGCCTGCGCCATTTGCGACAAACTGAGACAAAACGCCATAACTGCGCCATTTTGCAACATTCAGCTCAGTTTCTGCCAAAGCTGCACCATTCTGAGACAAAACGTCCAAAATTTGACAAACCTGAATTCAGTTTCAAATATTAATCCGCATCGCCGTGAGTCATTGGAGAGCATTTTGCCGTTCACGCCTCCTAAATACGTCATTTAAATGTCAGAAATTCCGTTTGGTAAATCAGCTATTGGAATGCATATAGAATATGCGTTTCGTGTCTTCAATTGGATTATGTACAGCAGTAGCAATCAGTATCGTATTCACGTGATCTTGTAAAAAAAGAGGGTATTCTTCCCTTATACTATTGGTTATTATCTTGCTTTTTTTTCTTAGGAAACTGTACCGCTTTTTTCTCCCAATTTTTAAAATTTCCGATCATGTTCCAAAAACTAAAATTTTCAGGGAGTCCAATTAGAGAAACCCAAGCCGCCGGAACGATAGTCGGATTACTGCGACTTCCGCTATAGAGTGGAAAGGAGCAGGGCTAAAGAGAATACAAGGGCTAGTTCACTCCGCTCTTAGAGTATTTAANGTCGCAGGATCGGCGCGGCGAGAGATACCTCAAAGGAGTGAACCAGCCCTTCTATTCTCTTTAGCCCTGGGAAAGGAGTCCAAGCGTTTCGTTTCGACCGCCGATATTTGATTTTTTTTTGTTTAGCTGATTTTCGGAATTTTAAATATTAGGAACTGCGCTGGAATATGCTAAAATCGCGATTTTTAATCAGACGATTTTAATATCAATCATCGATTTTCGTATTTAACTGATTTAAAACTTATGTGTTGCGATTTTTTTACGCTATTTTAAAATCGTACTAGCAATTCCTATTCACTCAATTTAAAAATTCAATATCGCGATCTGTATTCTCGTGAGTTTAAATCCAACGTCGCGATTCGTATTCACGCATTTTTAAATACATTATTGCGATTCGTTATCACGCAGTTATAATATCAGATCTCGTTTTTCGTATTTGTACGCTATTTAAAAATTACTCATTGCGATTCGTATTCACGTGATCTAAAAATTATGCATCGTGATTCTTATTTAAGCGATTTAAAAATTCAATATCGCTATTTGTATTCTCGCATTTTTAAAATCCAACAGCGTGATTCTTATTCACGTGATTTTAAAATTCAAAATCGTGATTCATATTCACGCGAGTTTAAAATCCAACCGCACGATTCATATTCACGTGATTTTAAAATCCAAAATAGTGATTCATATTCACGCGATTTTAAAATCCAATATCGTGATTCATATTCACGCTATTTTAAAATCCAGTATCACGATTCTAGAAAGAAGTAGAATTCAGTTTTTTCTTGAATTAGTTACAGTAAAGATGTGATATATTTTTCTACAGTTGTTGCATTTAAACAATTACTAAGTGCATTCATAATTACATTTTATGATTGTATATTTAGCTATATAAATTAAAAGAACATAGCCAACTAACTGATTTTGTGAATGCAAGAAAATACAATCTACTAGTCAATGCCAATTAACTAAAAAGTTTACTCTTATACTTAATAAAGGATGCAAGTCATTTTAGAAAGAAAAGTATATTTATATGTGTCTTTTTAAATTGTTTATAATAGTTTTCATCTATTTCTGTTTTGATATAAGAAAGTATGTATGCTAATTTTTGGCTATTAAGTGCTCCCTAAAATTTTCTTGAAAAATTCCTACCTAAAATATTTCAAAATTTCACTGCACCTCCTGAATTCTATCAAAGAGTGGTTTTTTTTTGTGTTATTTACATTTTCTTAAACTCTAATTATTTAATTACTGAATTTTTCTTTTAATTATTGAAATCTGTAAACCTTCCATTGTAACTGAATAGTTATATATTTTGAGATAAAATTTGAGCTCAAAATAAAATGGGTATTTTCCCTTTTGAATTGCCAAAACTAAATAGATATTTCTTTTTAGAAAGGTTACACCATTATATTTTAAAAAATAAGAAAGTTAAAATTTACTTTGTAAAATTCTGGAACAGATACTATTCATTGGCATAAATGATAAATGCAATATACATATGAAAACAACAGTCTACAAAACAATTTTGTGGACTCTTACAATCAATCATATGCAGGTTTTTTAAAATCCTAGCAATAGTGAGTGTATGTATAATTGTAGTACTCCTAGTATGCTATTAATGGTTTTATGGATCCTGAAAATTAACTTTATATTGTTATCAAACTGATTAATAGTCATTTTAGCTGAGATTTTAGTCAAAAAATTTAGCTTTAGTCAAAAAATAATTTTAGCTGAGACAAACTGAGCCAAATAGAGATTTTAACTGAGACGAAATGCAATTTCTGGTGAGACAATTTGATATTTTGCGAGTAGCACCCCTGATATATTTTATTCTGAAGAAATGTTGTTTGGAGCTAAATTAAGGAAAAGAGAATGCAATGAGATATCCATTTAAAGGCTGTAATGATAAACATTATCAAATGTAACTAAGAATAGTACATTGCTTAAATTTTTGATTACCATAAGTTTTTAGTAGATCTTTAAACTTTGGCTGTGGAAAAAATAAGTATACTTTAATAATGTTCTTTCTCAACAACAGACTTTAAATAAGAATTCCGAAAAAGGTCTTTTATTGTGTAAGGGTTATTCTCACTGAAAAGGTATAAATAGACTAAAAAATTTTCTTAAATTAAAGTAATTAAAAAAGTGATAAAAATTACATAAATGCCTTTATTTATTTTTGTTATATGTCCTTATAATAATGGTCAAGATTTCTATTTTATTTTTTACAAGATTTAAAATATTTTAAATTCTGCCTTGTCCACGGAGGAGATGTAATAGTCAACGGAGGAGACATTTTATGTTATGAAATATAAAATGTCAATGAAGACTATAATTCATTAATTATTGGGTACAACTGATATGAGTTTAACATTAATAAGCAAATAATAAAATATTTCATTATTAGAGATAGAGCTACTTCCGATTAATCATGCTGCTATGAAAGGAAACATCCATTTTTTACCTAGGTGTACGATTTTTTAAGTAACTCTTACTGAATATTAATAAATTAAAATGTAAACACTATTGAAATAAAAATTCAGACTCCTCATGAAATTTGAGTGTTGAGGGTACTCCTTTATGAACATTTTATGCAAGGAAAGTAAACATACTGTCATCCAAATAACATTTTTGTTTTTTCTCTTTTCTTCTTGTTATTGTTTCTTTTTTCCCTGGGCACAAACGGCTTGCTGTATCAATTTCCAGAAATTTAAGTACATTAATCACGATTTTTCTGTTAAATCTTTTTCTGATACAGATTTTAAAGCTTCTTGCTCTTTTTTTTTTACTTTCTTCAAACAATATAGGGTTTTCTTTTCATTTCTGTCTAGCTTGTCTCATACTAAATTTTTTCTGTTCCCTTCTCTTTTGCATTTGAACATTTGATTGCTTTCTTTTTTTACATTTTGGTTTTGCCATTTTTTTCCTAAAATTTGAAGAGAAAAAAAATTTTAAACATCGCAGAAATTATTTAGAAGAATTGCCAATATTTACTTCTCCGATAAGAAAAAATTAAACTTAATTGATTTTCTTTAAAAATACAAACAAATTAACACATTTGTTCCATTTTAAAACATATCAATTAAAAGAAAATAGTTTTTTAATTATTAAAATTGTATTATGGTTATCTAACACATTGTCTCTTCCATTGACTGTGTCTTCTCCTCCGCGGACTTGTTATGTCCACGGAGGAGACAAAAACTAGTTCTTGAATTTTACTGATTTTTAATTTTAAGGTTACAAAAAGGGGGCAGTTCTTTTTATTAAATATACTATTTTCGCAATCTAAAATTCTTGTATCAGAAATAAAATAATTTTCTCTTACCTTCTTTATGATGTCCACGGAGCATACGGCGAGAACTTTGCCAAACCCCAGTTGAACACAACAATCCAAAACTGACACCAAAAGAGAACAAAAACAACTGATAGTTAACATTAGAAAATGGAATGGTTACCTTTCCCAGCAGCTGTCTTATAGGGATTTCGCATATGTTGCCCTTTATTGCATATTTACCGAACTATATTAATTGTCCATGGAGGGAGATTTAATTTTCGATGGACAAAGTTTACTAGTCATTTGTTTTATAAAAATAAATTAAAAAAAAAAATATTAAATAAAAAGTTACTATAAGCATTTAACTAGGTAAAACTACAAAAATCATTTAAATTGTTTAACAGTCATTAAAAAAATTTTTGTCACAGACTTAGGGACGTCCACGGAGGGGATTTTGAAGTTATGTTTATTAAAAAATAAGAATGAAATATTAAATACATTTAGCAGAAACGCATATGATTTGTTAGAACTTTACGAAAAATGATGAAGAAAAATATTAAGAAATCTGCTATATTTCCTAGTATTTATTACTAAGGGACTTAAAAAATCACCTTTTTGTGAGAATGACTCATAACTAAACCTAATTTTTGAATCGTTAAAACGAATTTTTGAAAGATAAAATTTTTTTTGAAATATGTATGAGAAAAGCTTCAGAATTGTTATAGACCAATTTTTGGAATAATCTCATGTTTGTTTAAAAAAATTCAAAACTCTCAATAAAAAAAAAAACTGTTGAAAATTATTTGAGACATAAAGACTATGCAATAAAAACAAACCAATCTAACATATTTCAACAAAGAATATAATGCAAACAAAAAATCTAACATACAAACAAGAATATAATTTTAAATATATAGTTTAAAATTGAAGTCAATCTATGAAGATGGTATCTAGCAGCATAGGTGTAATGTCGGAAGGGAGTCACAATGCCCCCTCAAAAGTTTTTCAAAACTTAAGAATCTTTTTTATTTTATTTCTTTTTTTAAAACACCAAAAAATTATTCTTAACATAAAAGTTTTATAACTTTAGATAATTTATCAATAATTAAATGAAATAATTCTATGTTTAGCATTTTTATGTAAGTGGTTTCTTAAAAACCATATTATGATTTTTAAAAAAATTATTTTGATTATTACTTAATGATTTCAGCATTAGTTTATAATAGTGATTGCTAGTTATTTTCCATAAAATACCAATAAAGCCCCCCCCCCTTACTTTTGAAGGAAGTCGCTGTGGTGTCGATGGGGGGGGGGTTGATANGGGGGGGGGGGGGTGAATAATCGGCTCTGAAGAAAATGCAAAGCATCGTTTTAAAAAAAAATCAACTATATTTGATTGAGCATTATTTAGCTTGAATCACAAAATATACAGTAAAAATAATCATTGCAAAATAAAGTAAATTTGAACTTTAATCATTAAAAACATACCTTTGCAGCAGTCCTTTATTTTCAAATTTCAGCGTGATTGCTGCACATGCAAATAGGTGAAAAAATTTTTAAGAAATATATGACAAAATATTTCATAAAAGAAAGATATTTTAATCTCTGTGAACAAGCAATGAATGTTCAGTCTCCATCTCCAAAATATTCAGAATTTTCTTACCCCTGTAGAACAATTCTAAGAAAGGTTAATTTCCTCTTACTTCTTATCTCTTCCATTCAATTCAATTGAAATGTCACATTCAACTCTCTCACCACCCCTTAAAATTTCCCCATTCTTACCAGTGAGTGTACATACCATTGGACCTTGACCTACAGGCAGCTTGGAGGAAATGTTGAACATGCCTTTCTTCCTAGCTGAGGAAGAGAGGGGAGGAAGAAAAGGATTGCTTCCCCTTCTCTTCCCACCACACTTAACAAACAACTGCACTTTTGTTAGCAATCTTCAATTCAGTGACTGTGATTGATTATCTACCTTTTCCCCCCACTCATTGTTCATTTACAGTCTAACACTAATCTTCTACCCTAAACACCAGGATAACTATTTTTTAGAAATTTTATGAATTTATTCTTAAAATAAGAACTTTTCTAAATTGCGTTGTAAAGAAGGGGCAGTTTTTTGGTACTGATTAGCAATCTGTATTTATGTGAAACTACAGGGAGTGCTTTCTCCAGTTGGGGCGTTCTATCAGTATTTTACAGTAGTTTAATTTATCCTCAATAAAAAATTTTAAATTACAATTATTTTCTATTAACATAGCATAATAATTCTTAAACATACCATTTACTTTTTGTAACTGTCAAAGGTTTTCAGTATGTTTAAAAGTTATTTTTGTCTTATAGCATTAAGAAGCAACTACCAGGTTGGTTGAAACTCTAAATTTATATTCTGATTTGTTCTAAGTATAAATTGATGAGTACTGCTGCTTAATATTCTTATAATTTTTAATCAATAAGTACCATTTCATATAAACTATTCTTTTTTGATTACGGATGAATTTCAAATCTAACGTACAAATTTTCTGCGTGTTTCAATAAAATGTGTTCTAAACTATTTTATTATAAATTTTTTTTCTTCTAAAACCTAGCACCGGATTTAGAGGAATGGATTGCACTAAATTCTCAAAAATATAAAAAAGTGGCACATAGGGAAAATTTTATTCTTTTAGACTTTAAGGCAATATGGTATCAAGAAATTACATTGTTAAATTATAAATAAAGTACATTATGATGGATCTGATTTTCTCAAAATCTACCCAGCAATAGTTAAGAACCATCAAAATCTGTAAAAACATTTTTGGCACTGTGAGTAAAGTGATCATATCACTAATTGCAAACGTAGATTAATTTTATTTTATGACAATTAGGATTCTAGATTTTGTACTATTTTTCAATCGCAGTTAATGTTTCAAAATTAAAATGAAACATAATTTCTATAAAAAGTAAATATTAAAAATTACTAGGAATAAAAGTCTATAAAACCGGTGAATTGAAAAAAATTTATTGATTGTTTAAAAATATACTTAATAACTGGAAAAAAATTTAATTTTCATTTTAGCATACTTGAAATAGAATTGTACATCAATCTTAACCTTGACAGGAAGTGGTTATAGATCAAAATATTTTACCATGACTTTTTTTTCTTTTTTTAATTTTATGAAAATAAAACATTTAAATTCAGACGCCATGGTTTCACAATGTGGCCCGATTACATTACAGAATCAGTCATGCTCCATAAAAGAAATTAATTATTACCAATATAATAGTAATTAACTCCTGTTATGTACAGAAAATTACTATTGAAATTAACGATATTTTTATAGTTTTTTCTGTGTATTTAGAGTTTTAATTTTAATATATATATTCTAAAAAATGAATGAGAAAAAACAAAACAAATGTGTCTCCCTCAAAAATTTATTTTATTCTTCGTCTATGTCCAGAAGACTTTAAAAAAATACAACTTTGAAAAATGAAAACCTTTGAAGTTTTTTCACACAATGAACTGTTAAGAATTATGCAGAATTTAATAGCTAAAAAAATAGTTAATAAAGTGGAATACTCATCTATTTTTCTTGCCAACATAGTGTTACCTGGTTTGTAAACATACTAGTTAGCCCAAATGAAGAAGAGAACTGTAATTAAGAATTTGGTTGGGTGCAGTTGCTTGTGAGAGAAGGGGATTTCTTTTGTGCAAAATGAAGAAATCCTTTCATTGTTATTTCTTTGTCTAAATTTCAAAAATGTGCCTAGATTTTCTTTTACTATAATTAGCATTAACATCAGTGCCGTAACTTCACCCCTCGGGGCCCAGGGGCAAAAAAGTTTTTTTGGGGGGTCGGGGGCCCTTTCAAAAACTTTCAGTACTCCATCTCTAATCGTCATTTTAGCTATTTTTGTATTATGTTAGCGAATATATTTATGAAAACAAGTTATTTGTTCGCATATAAATTGGATTACAATACATCGTAAGTTTTCTACATGGCAAAATACAAACTTTCAGCGAAATCGATTAATCCTGAGAAATTAAATTTAAAAAAAGTCATACTTATAAAACTCGATTTCACAGGAACTAATACACTATTCAACCAATTTCGCTCAAATTTGTATTTTCCATGTGGAATTAGATACTTTAAAATGATACAAAAAAAAAACTATATGCTTTACGATTCAAAAGTTTTCAGAGTATTATTGTCCCAAAGGGGACTGATCGTTAAGACCCGGTTCCTAGCAGACCACCGAAGTCAAGCATCACTGGCTGTGGCCAGTGTGCGGGTGTGTGACCACTTGGATCAGTGTGCGTAAGGACCGAGGGTGTGCAGTATTGGTCCTCGTTAAACTGTTCTACGATAAAGTGCTCGACTTCGCGTGCAGGTCGCCTGGCTACCGAAGAGGGGGTGACATCACAGAGGATCAAAACTCGAGGGATGTTTCCCAGACCGTCGCCAATAGCCTATTGTGTAGCACTAGTGCGACGTAAATGATCAACATCAGACTATTATTAAATAAAAAAATAATAAATATTTACTAAAAGTTATTTTTTGCATGGAATTATCTTTAGATAACAGAATTTTATAATCGTGTGCAAAATTTTTTCAATTCCCTTAAAAAGCTCTCCATCTGTAGTGAAATACAAAAAAATAAAATTAACATTTGGGGGTTCAAACTTCGGATAGCTCACCCGACCCAACTATTGGGACCATATTTCCCAGATTACAGCTACCTCCTATATTACGGTGGTTAGAAAATCGAATCTGTTGAAAAAAAGGTATGTTTATTCAGAGAAAGTATGTTTTTGCGTCTGATTGGGTAACTTAAAATAAAATATCGAGCACAAATTAAGTTGCATATTTGATGTCACACCCTCATTATTAAGATGGAGTCCTAGAACGTGAAGATTCCATCATTAAATAAAAAGTTATTCAGGGTGGTACTTTCTTGGTTCTCTGTACGTAAATGTTACCAATTTACGACATCTCACCGAGGAAATATGACAAGGGGAAAAATAGCTACGTTGTCTATTCCTGTCCCCCTGTCATGTTGTCTACTAAATATTATGCTAATCATAAAATACTATTTTATAAATCTGTTGAATCCGGTTACTATATCGTTAGGATGGTCTTTCAAGACAAAACCATAATAAAAATGAAAATCATTTTTTGTTTCAAATCTGAAAGTTTTTGATCGCGTTATGGAAACTGAAGGAAACTATAGACTTTTTTTTTTCTATTTTCTTATCAGCACATATATCTACATTTCAAAAAGTCCTAATTGAAAAAATATTCAGAAATTTTTTCTCTATATAAATCAATTAACAAAAACAAAGTTGCCTTACTCCAATATGGACAGGTCCCTAGAAAATCGTTCTTGAATATTTGGCCTATGTATTCATGACGCCATGTAATCATATGTGACAAAATTATGAGAAAGAGTAATAGTTTTTTTTATGAAAGAAAAACGAGAAAAAGTCGAAGCATATTTGCTAATTAAAAAAAAAATTATTTTTAATGGTTTGTCATGGCAATGAATTTTAATTGCTACGGATTTCTAAGCTGATGGTCATAGCTTTTTTATTAAATTAAATGCGTTCTTTTATTAAATAAAATAGGATTTTTTTTAATATAAAATAAAGATTGCATTTCATTTTTTAATGAAAACAAAGTTGTTGAAAACCCTGAAAATTCGAAGTTCCAATCTAAAAAATTTAAAGGTCTTAATAATTTGAAAAATATAAAAAAGGAACACAATCCATGCACACAATAAACAGTAAAATTACCAATTAAAGTATTTACTATACAAATTAAATTTTAAATACGAACATAAAAGAAAGCAATTTTTATTTTACCATTCTTATAAAAGAATTCGAACCGTATATAAATATAAAATTTAAATGTATTAAATGAGTTAATGCAAAAATTTACTTACCTCCTTATAAATAAATTTACATTTGGTTTTCTTGTTTTCCAAAGAAAAGTTTTATTAAGAATGGGAATTATTGATATCACGATTTATGTTTGAAAAAAAGGAAGTTGCAAATAATTTCAATAACTTTTAATTAAAGTTAAATTTTAATTTCAAAAATTGAATAAAATAAAAGCTAACAGAAAATTTATATCTGAATTAAAAATGGTTAATTTAAATGACGCAATTAAATGAGCTAAAAACTGGAATTTAGCTGGAACGTTTTACGTTTGCCGCAGAAAAAATCTCTTGACAAAATGACCTAAGTAAATGTCAACAAGAGTCATCCCCTTGGATCCCTTAAAAGCTTACATCTGTTTTCCTAGAACATCTAGATCAAGGGTCGCCAAACTTTTTTGATCATCGACCCCTATATAATTTTTCGAAATCTCTATCGACCCCCACAAAAGTAATTTTCTGTTAGTTAAAATAAAACTCTATTAGATACTGTGTTTGTACATTTATTTCATGATTTTAAACATTTATTAAAGTAATAGTACATTGTGTAACAATAGTTTTATGAAAAATACATTAATATTGAAATTTAAATACCTTATTATTAAATTAAAAGTAATTATGCATAAGTAGATATAATAAGTAAAGTAACTAAAGATTTAATGCTTCTTGATCAATGAGATGGGTGTGCCTGGTGTTTTTTTTTCTTTTTCTTTTTTTGCAAGGTTCGCTATATTGCGTTTAAAATTGGTCAATTTTAATTTTCGTCAAAATTGGTCAATTTTGTAATTTTTGTAAAAAAATACAAAGTGGGCTATAGTTTTGTCGTGGACTGTACTAATCCGTATTATTAATGCTTACCTTCTCTTTGTGCATTGATAATTAAAATTGATATATAAACTAAACTAATGGTTTTATCGAAACAATAACTAATTATCCAAAACCATAAAAGTTTTAATAACGACACTGCAAATATTCAACACAGTTTGCAAAGATAGCTGAAACTGCGTATGATATTTACATTTGTAACGTCAATGCTAGTCACACGTGACATTTGGACAAGCGCACATAAGCATATGACTTATAAACTGCGCTGAGTTCGTGCCACTGCGCGGTGGTACGTAAATACTTGTTTCACCCCAATAAATATACTCTTATAAATTTATGTCTTATAAAGAAACTGATATTGAGTCAATTATAAAAAAAAAATCACAAATTTTATATACTTAATTAGGTATGTGTGATTTGCGTATTGAGAACTGTTTTTTTTCCCGACTTTTCCGATTCGGATCGACCCCCATTCGCCTCCCTGTCTCAGAT